TATCAGGTGAAGGCTGCAATATGCCATGGTTGATATAATTACAGATTGCCAGGAAAATGGAAAATGATTTGAAGAAAGAAAGAATTGACAGAATATGAAATACTAATGCAGAACCAAGACCACCTATAAGGATGGATGGATGGATGGACGGGTGGATGGAGAGAGAGAGAGAGGGAGGGAGGGAGGGAGGGAGGGAGGAGAGAATGCAAAATTTTAAATAATTTCAATATAGCAATGTGAGAACTTGTGGAAAAACTCAATAAAATTACTATATGCTATTTTTAAATATAAAATTGGTACAAAATGCTTCATAGATGTTCTATAATTCCAGTAATTACAAAAATAGATAAATCATATAATAATGCTGAAAATACGAGACGGAGAGAATTTTTTATTATATGTGGTAGTCAGGTAAATATGAAAATACTTAAAAGAAATAGAATTATTAAAAAAAAACCTGTTGGAAATAAAAATTCTCAATTTTTCTAAGAACTATACAATTATAGAACATTTAATTTTAATTTTAATTTTTTTTTAAAAAACCCACATTTTTCTTTGTGATATATACAGCTATGAGGACAAATTTGGCTCAAGGTTGGAAAACGGACATTTGGCAACTACAGCAAACTGAGAAACAAGTTTGTCTAATTTGCACATTCAACATTTCAATAAAATGTTTAATGTATGAATTTTTATAAAAGGGAAACATTTTTTATAAAAGGGAAAGAGTCACCCTTGTATCTTCATACTTACCCTCATGCAACTTTCTAGTTTCTTACAATAGTTTTTTGGGCTGAGACAGTTTTGTCAATCCCAAGTGGCTAGGTTGTACTGTACAAACAAAGCTACAGTTTGCGGTTTTAAATTTGTAGTATCTGGATTCATAATCCTTTAAGTCAAAACCAAACAAAATACATTATGGCACAATGCAATTTATATCCAAATAAGAATGAACACATTCTTGTGAGATGCATAACACACAGTTTGGCTAGAGGGAGCTCTCTAAAGTATGTGCAGAGAAACAGAAGGAAAAGGATAGGAATTGGAAATGTGAGTTGAAAATTTGTTAGAGTTGGTTAACTAGCAGCTGAATGTGTGTAGGTGTGACACTTTCTAGAAAAAGCTCTCTTTGCTTCATAACATTTCTTGTTATCCTTCCCCTTCATGCTTCTAATTTCAAAATATTTCCCATTGAAATTCACAAAGGGAGTAAGGAATCTGATCCACCACCACCACCAAGGGAGGCTATAGCTAAAGGGATCAAGTGGCCCAGTAACTGGAGAAAAGGCCTTTCAGTATTAATTCAGTAGCTCCTTTTCATTCTGGAGTTCCCATCCCATCTGACGTCTGTTCAGAAACCTGGACTGTGGGATTGTATGCTTCATTAACCAGTATGCATAATGGAGGATGAGGCTTAAATATACTGCATACAAATATGCATACTATTCTTTAGGAAAAGACTTTGAAGAGCTGTACATGATGCCCAATGTAGCTTTGTCCTGTCCTGCATAACAGTTTGTTTGTACCTGCTGAATAAAAGCCTTCCATATTTCTTTCTCCCTGAATGACAGTGAATCACTATTCATCTGACAAAATTCACATGAAACCTTTACAATTAAACGCCGCAGACATTTCATACCATAGGCTTGACAGGGATCTGAGTTACAATATCATCTCTTCATCTCCGTTGATCTTCACTGTTTCCCTTTCTATTTTACCCAAGTGGCTTGTACTGTATCTGACAAAGGCAGTCACCCTGCTGATCCTTACTTCAGTTCTACTATTAGCATCAAAGAGCAAAAGCAAACAACCTTGCCTTGCAGCTCTGAACTCCACAAAACCTTGGTGAATGGGCTCTTGTGTCTAGGACAAAAGAAATTAGGCATTTTGTTGTCAAGAGACTTCTCATGCTGTTTTTGAAGAGCACTAAGCTAGATAAAGAGGATAACCTTTGCCTTGAAGAAATGCACACAAACCCTTGCGTTTGTATACATTCTAACTTTCATTGGTTTTTGCATCACCAAGAAGAGAAATTGGGTGGGCTGATATCAAAGCTAGCTTGAGCGTAAATAGCTTTGGGTTTTAAGGGGCTAAGTATACTTAAGAGGGCTTCTCTACACAAGCTTGCAAAGAAAAGGAGCCTCATAAGGAGAGGATTTGGAGTGGAGAAATAACAGGGGAGGTTGAGCTCACACTTGGGTTGAGCTCTCTTTCTGTTTGTAAGAATCTATTTGTCAGAATAGCAATAGTTCTAGAAAGAACGAAGTACTTTTCCTATACCACAGTTACTGTATCTTGCAAACAGAATCTTTTTTAAATTAACTTTAAAGTAAAACTCGACAGTAGTGACATTATTCCCTCTGATATTCTTGCTCCATAATAAAATAATTAGTTCAAAGAAATTATTTGCATTTGGCGCTAAAGATCTGGTTCTGCCAGCAGGCCTGGGGAAACCATAGCGGGATAGAGCCCATTAAAAGGCTTGTGTGATTGGCTGTCGCTGGGGCGGGAGGTTTGGGGTGGGGGTGATTTTATTACATTAATTTATTTGATTTTTTATTAGTTTTGCTGTTTTTAGATGTGGTTTTTATATCCTTTAAGCCACCTTGATTCACCATGGGCGAATAGGCAGCAATATAAATGTAATAATAAATAAAAAATAATAAACATTTGGTTACAGACTGTTTACATTGTTTAAGTTTTGCTCTATTGTTATTTTTAGTTAAAAGACTGCTAGCAGGGGGTCAGGGTTTTAAAGTAGCAGTCTTTTAACTTCAAAGTTGCATTAAACTCTTTATACTAGTGGTGTTCTGTTGGACACTAGCATTTTGAATTAAATAATATACATAACTCATATATACCGTAATTCCAGAAATGACCTTGAATAAATTTAATTTAATGCACGGCTTTTTTACTAGCCAGAAATTTAATTTTGGGGGAAAGGAGGAAGGGCAGCAAATACAGAGAGATTATGCAACATAGATGGGCCTGTGTTAAATGTTTGGACAGGGGCAGGATTTTCCATGTTTAGGGGTCTTTATCGGGTTTTCCTTTGTTTAAACTGTGTTCAGTTGCTTAGTTGTATCAGACAATTATGTTGCTAAAATTCACCGACATTATGGAAGCTTTGAACACTGCAAAAGAGAGTTGGTGGAGGTTGCAAGTTCTTTACAAAAAGTACTTGAACTTCAAGATAGTTTGTGTTTTAAAGCTATTGCTTTCTAAAACGCTAAGTCAAGTAAATATAGAGAACAATACAGTTACTGAAAAATGGTATAGCAGCCACCATTAATTAATTAGTTTCTGAAGATCTAATGTTTTTTACCATAACTTTTTTCCGTAATATGAAGAGCTGTTTTTTTGTAGTTTTTGTACATTATTTTTAGAACTAATACTACCATGTGTAAAGTTGTGTAAGCACATCTAAAATTGCACCATTAGTGTACAATATTGTACTGTAAAAGTATAGTAACATATTTTGTACAAGCAACATGCAAACATACCTAATATTAGAGTCAAAACTGCAAGCTGTTGCACTCTTTGCTACCTAAGCACTTGTATCTGAATTTGCCATCTGGGCAGTAGGAAAAAGAGTTTAAAATAGAAACTATAAACAATGTGACAAAGAAAGGAAAGTGTATTATTTAAGCAGAAATAGCTTCTTATAGCCATTTGTATGTTCTTTCCTATGCAGCAAATAGACAGTTGAAAGGGGATTCAGATTGAGAACATGATAAGATTTAAATCTTATCTCTTAGCATCATGTACCCAGATCAAATCATCTTACCTCCCCAGGAATTGCATTGTTTAAAAAAATGAAGAAAAAGAAAAGAAAAAAAGATCGTTGATTTTCCTGAACAATCAGGTCTAAAACAGTCACAGTATCCTCCAAAAATGATATAGTAAACTAATCTACAAATCCCCTTCTTAAGTATGATAGAAGGATAATTCTGTTGAAGCTAATTCTGTTGAAAATTTATTATTGTCTGTCTTGTATGATCATTATGAGTAATTCAGTGATGTTTATTGATGGTATTCATAACTCACAGAAAGTGTGTTCATATTATTTAACTGCTAGTTTTTAAAATGATGTTAGCTTTTAATGACCAAAATTGTGGCATGCTCTATTGTAATCAAAGAGTAAATTAGATGAATGTGTAGTTGGTTGAGTTTATAAGATTACTGTGTTTCTGCTTTTTCAGAAATTGTTTGGCAATTCAGGGTGTAAGAATAAAGGATATACACATGCAAAACAATTGATTTAGGATTCAGATGATAGAAAATAATGAATTTCTTCACCTTGATTTGCTTACTTGCTGTTTCTATTAAATGATATACCATGAGAGAAAGATGTGGTCTTTAATGCAAAATAATATGTTTTTCCATTTAGTAATGGGGAAGGGAGTACACAGAAAATTTCAGTAAAATTTCTGCAATGTCTGCAATGAAGGATGGTCACAGGAAACTGGGCATAAAGAACTACAATAGTAGTTTTTGTTTTGTTTTCTTTTGTTTGCTAGAATCTGGGAAACCAAAAATTGGTCATAAATTCACACAAAGCCTTTTTCTCCAATATTACTTATATGTTCTTGAATTTATGAAAATAAAACTGTTATGCTGTGAATACAGTCTTTTTATCTTTTTAAAAATCTATTTGTGAAGTAAATACCACAGAATATTCTAACCAATATTCTTGCAGGTCTCTGTGTTGGATCTATCTGATTCTGGAACTTCTTTCTCTCTCCAGACAGATATGACATCTGATTAATTTCTACATGCACAGGGGAGAGGGGATCCAAGCCCTTTTCCCTTGCATGATGGGCAGATGGCTGAGGATGGATGGTTTTTTAAAAGCAAATTTCTGGTTTTGCATGTAATTGATTTCCATGCAAAGAAGCTAAGCTGCTGGTGTGTTTGCATGTGGGTTTCTAATATGTTTTCTCTTTCTCTCTTTCTTTTCTTCCTCCCTTTTCCTGCTTCCTATGAAAATGCTTCATCAGATGCCAGTCATGTTCCAGGTGAGTGTTTGGCTTTCCAGAGTATGGGAGGAAGCTGCCTTCTAAGAATGATAATGAAGAAGAATTTCAGTTGTGAAGTTTAGAACACATATTCAATTGACAATCATTGTCATCATAGATAAACACCTTATGGGATACACAAATGTAGGATTATAGTAGTCATTTTCTTGGAAAGCAAAGCACACAATAAAGTGCCAAAATGCTCTGCACAGCATAGAATAATATAGATTTATTGTCACTTTCTAATCCATTTCAAATGAAATGTTGCTCTTAAAGTCAACACTTGGACATAAACACTTTCCTATTACCACATAGAAATTTTCAAGAACTTCATGAAATGTAAACCAGTAAAAGAAGTAATATATTGAAATGTTAAAACATAATTATTAGTGCCCAGAAATTGATCATAGTGCACTATACTGAATGAAGACAGGCAAAATGAACCTAATTCATTTCTCCACTTCAAGGTAATATTCATCCAAAATGAACACTGACTACAAATTCATGTGCTTATTCCACTGTTCCATTCTACTGTGCAACTCTAATTTCATAACTTTGATTTATTTTTCATTGAAATCAGCAGACCTATTGTTCAATGCTAGCTAGATTGCTCTATTTTTCCTGTGACACAGGAAGCTTTATCATGCAACAGACAAGAAATAGAAGTAGGTATTCAAAATTAGATGTTTTACACAGTATAGGTTTAGCTCAATTCTTAAAAAGAATGGAAATCAGCCCCAGAGGACTGCAGTGTTTGACATAGAATGGTGGACTAATGGTTTCTTCTGCTATTAGACAATTTGAGTTGGAAGTATAATTTTAGTTTTTAAATAGGCTTCAACTACTATATATTATTTTGTGGTTTTTTAAATCTCTCCATAGGTTTATACAATCTATGAAAGAAAAGGCAATATACAAATTGAATAAAGAAACTCTTTTTTGCTGTTTAAAATTGCAGCTCCATTTTAAGGTCAAGGTCAGAAATTTGGAAAGAAAGGGATGAAGAATTTCTGATAATTCCTAATAAGAGTGAAACTAAATGAATCTAAAGGAACAAATGGTTTATAATATAGGCCTGAGCATAGTGCTGGAGCTCTACTCAGATAGTAAGAACTAGAGACTTTTCTTCAGGACCCTGGACAGATACCAGGGAACCTTTTGCCAAAGTCCAGATAGCCTTATATTTCATTCTGCATTACTACTTTTGGGATCTTTGGTGCCCTCCTGAGTTGGTTGTTTTCTTGCAGACAATTCATTGCCCAACTAGGTAACATCATTAGAACTAGGCGGACCCCACAATTCAACCTTGACCAATATTCTATTGGTATTATTATCTTTCTTAGACCTTGCCTTTGTGCTGGAGAAAGGACATTACAATTACTGGAGATAATTATCTACCCTGCATGTAATGGTCTATCACATTTCAAATCTATCCAGAGTCCATCTAATTATCAGCAGAATTAGTACCATGTGAGGCTTTTAGTAGCAAAGAGCTAGTTTGATGTAATGGTTAAAGTGGTGGTCTATAAACCAGGAAATTGTGACTTCTGGTTTTGCCTTTGGATTGAAAGTCAGCTGGGTGACTTTAGGCCAGTCACTCTCTGTCAGTGCAACCCATCCCACAGGATCGTTGCTGTGATGAAAATAAGGAGAGGAAGATGTATTATGTATGTTCACTGCCTTGAGTTACTTATAAGTAATAAAGGTGGAATAAATGTCTAATAAATAAGTATGTATAAACAAACAAACAAACAAACAAATAAATAAAAGGGCCTTTACTTTTTGTTGGATATAGCCCAGGGATCATGATCTATCACTCTTGATTTTATGATCTTCTGATGTGAAAGTGCCTGCTTCATGGGCAGTGTTATGTTTTAAATCCAGTATCTGCATAAGTTGGAACAGTAGTTGTCCTGATTCTACTGGCCCATCTTAATTGTGACAGTCTGTCACTGATGGCATACCTTGATCATGACAGAATCAGGTCAAGAAACTTTTAGTGAGAAAAGAATTATTTATTGACTGATTTATTTTGACCATCTTACCTTGGCTTCAACTTCAGATTCCTAGACCACCTTATAAAGAACAGGAAAAAGTGAATTCTTGCCTTCAGGTTAACTCTCTAAACAAAATTGAGCTGGGAAACAAAAAAAAGTAGGTAAACATAGGTGAACACTTTGTTGCAGTGTTCAGCATCAATGGGAAATTATTTAGCAGGCCATACAGATGGTATTGATGTAAGCTGGAAGAACTGCTGCTTTTCCATCTGGAGACCACAGCATGGAGGTTAATGAAAGAACTACTATCAACTGGATCTGTATTTACTTATAGAGTAGAATGCCTACCTTCTGTTACTTTTTTTCTAGTAGATACCATACATTCAAAAAAGAATTTAGAAGTGTCTTTGGGTTATGCCTAGTTTTATGGCAACATAAATTTCCACTTTATTCTCATCATATATTTCTCAGAACAAAATTATCTAATATCCATACTACCTTTTTCATACTCGCAGCAATCTATTTATTATATTATCTTTCCTTGATTAAGAATTCTATAGGAAGCCCTTGTCTATATAATATCAATTGGAAAAATAAATTACACACTTTCTCTTTCTGTCTTAACAATGCCTAAACAGTGGACTTTCCATCCGAGAGATGCTATAGGCTTTTCTTTTTCTTGTTTCTTTCTCTTTTTAAATTACTTATCCCTTGAGGCTTTTAGGTTAAATTTAATTGAATAAATTTTTGTAAGTTCAATCACTGTTATTCTCTCAATTATTGTTACTGTTCAATTTTAATTTCATTTCTTCATGCTCCCTTTCTTTGGGAATTCAAGGGCCTTTCAAATTCAACCAAACATCTAATCTGTAGTCATTTTGCTTAAGTCAAGAAATTATATTTTTTTTCTTATGTTCTTAGGCAATTTGATTTTTCTTCATATACCTGCATTCTTTATGAATGTAGGAAATAAGGAAATAGGAGCTATTGACAGAAGACATGATATGATGCAACATGGCATAAAGAAATTCTATCGCTTATGACATTTTTTTTCATCACTACCTTTATATTGATGCATGATGCACTTGATGAAGTGGACTTTATTCCATGAACACATACCATAATACATAGTCTTTATGATGCTAAAGAACTTTTATTTTTACATATACATATTTAATCTCACAGGTTAATTTTATACATAAATATCATAATTTGATTCAAAACTAGCAGAGTTACTATCAGCGTAGTAACAATGATCTGACAGTAGAATCCAACTGCAAGATGCACATTGAGTTTTTAATAGCCAGAGGTATCTAAAGTCTAATAACTAAATAAATTAGCTTCATTGATTAACTAATCAAGTAGACAGGCCAAAACTATTGTTCAATATTACAAGCTCATCATGAAAGGTCTAACATTGGTTATAGCCAAATGGGGATCCCCAGGGTTTCTTAATCCTGGCCTGCCAAAATTGTGTGAAATGAAACTTGATTGGAGTGAATTTCTCATTTTCATGCCAGTCATTTTAATTTTTTGGACTGATATTTCTGTTACCAGGGAGCCCACAAAAAGGCTAGTATCCCTCTTCTTTTAACAATCTGCTTGAGACTTTATTTAATTCATTTTGGATACTCAACTATGCTTTAGGTAATGACACAATTCAATATTATTAGTATTAGGGCTCAATACATCTTTTAAAAAATGACTTAAATTATACTGTCATGGCCAGATCTTTAGTTATATTTTCCACAATGACTCGTGGCATCTTTGTTTATTTAAAAACTTGGTATCTTGGTATCTTCCAGATGAGTTCAATTTGCACTCCACTGAATTCTCAGCTGATGTGGAAGGTACCCATTTTTTAAAATTGGCATAAAAATTCAAAATGAATTTTTGCTGGGGGGGGTGTTAATCTAGGTTTTTGAGTGAAATTAGACCTTGAATACTAATTTTTATATTGCTATTATGAGGAACTTCTGGTGTAATTTTTTTGCTTCCTCTAGACTATTTTGCCTGATAAAAATTGAGTGTTGGTGCCTGGTAAATGCATCAAAGAAAAGAGAGGCAAAGAACATGGATTAAATTACTTCAGTGTGGCTCTCAATAATCATATTATGAAAAAGTACCACAAATTGCTCATCAGATTCTACTATGAAAATGGATTGTATTCCAATTTCCACTACAATGGGATATTCTTTGGGGGTATCTTTAAGATTTGGGAAGAAATAATCTGGCAACTAGGTAAAGATAATGAGACCCAAAAGTGGCTCATTTAATAAGTAAGAGGCATAAAATACCACAGCTTCTTGAAAATTAAAAAAAAAATTAGGAGAAGGTACTGTAAGGGAAACAAAACTTGTTAATGATTAGCCCCATTTCTGGGCAGAGAGTTTTAAAATCCTTCTTTACCTATTTAAGGAATGGCTGAAAATGGCTATGAAAAATACTGCACTTTGCCATGATTCTATTTGCCAGTTCTCTGAGACCAGCCACAGAAAATGACCACCAGATCCAAATTGCCTTTCAAATTATCACTTTCTCATGTGAAGGATATCAATTGTGAAAAGCTAATGTATATTTGTTGAATACCATTTCAGTGAGGATTTGGGGAATTCTCCATTAACCTTTCTGGAGTGAATGAAAGGTTCACAGGAGTGATTCTTGGTGGAAGCTGCTTATAAACATATATTTTAGGATGATGTTTTTCAAACTTGGCAACTTTAAGATGAGTAATTCCCAGATTTCTCCAGCCAGCATGGGAATTCTGGGAACTGATTCTGCGCATCTGAAAATTGCCAAGATTGAAAAATACTGTTCTAGGATGCTCGTTCTACAAAAAAACAGCCATTTACTTCTTGATGTCACATTCATATCAGAACTTACATTCATATTTTTTGCACGTATGTTTGTCTTGTTTTTTTCCTATCCAATGCCTGCTACAAGCTTTGATCAGGCTGCAGCCACAAGAGCAGTTGTATTAAAGTAGAACTGCAGTACAAGTGT